TTTTGAAAAATTTGAACTACGTTTTGAAAAATTAGAACTTCATTTTGGGAAACCAGATCTACATTTTGAGAAATTGACGCCTACGTTTTGATAAATTAGACATCGAATTTTGCAATTACATTTTGATTTTAACATGGACTTTTGCTGCGTATGGCACCCCATATGTTAACGGCTATCTTGATTTATATTACAGCATATGCAATTATTTGTTTCTAGCCGTACTTATCGTGTAATGGAGTGTATCTGGTGGTATTTGAATCTGTTTAACCATGAAGCCTCCGTGGTCTAATGGTTATGACGCTCGCCTTGACAGCGAGAGGTCGCAGGTTCGAGCCCGCCAGAGGAATTTTATTACACAATTTCTTTATTCGTTTATTTTTACAGGACTACATTCGTTGAGAGCTATGCTACACATAATAATAAAAATATGGTAAAAAATGGATTATGTAATACATGCTAAAATGTGATGGATGTAGACATTCATTATTCGTCACGTATTGACTAATTTTAGTGATCAACATGGCCAATTTATAATATATTTTATTCCATTATATTTAGTAAAAATATACGCGTTTGTATCAGCACCTCACTGAAGTGGTACGTTCCACTTACCTACTACACACTGAATACTCTGCAGCTCCTTTCACTGTACCGTACTAACGTAATTTGAATAATGAATTCTCGCATGTGTTGTTTTGTAGTCTGATAAGTCCTTGTCCAATATTTGTAGATTCGTCGTATTATTGCAAAATTATTTTTTACGATAAATTAGTGGACATAAATAGGAAATTAAAATATGTCAATAATGGTAAGACATATAAAAGAATGGTGCTACGATATATTTCTACCAGAGCTGTGCACGCGTCTAGACAGTAAATCGTTGTCCTTACTCAAATTAGTATATGATAATTTGCAATGCAAATAATAATTCAGATATGTATATTAAAAATCTAAAAGTTGTAGATGTTCCCGATATTGTTTCTTGATTCAAATGCATGTTAACGACCAAATATTCTTTTTTAATATTAAGGCGAGACTTGTTTTATTCCTTGTTTTGCGTACTTATTTATATACATATATATATAAATATACATATCTTATCTTTTGAGATTTCAAGGGAGCAGAGGGTGTAATAAAAATAAAGAAAAAGTTTTATTTTTTTCTAAAATTTCTACATTTTCGTGGCGGCTGGTGCACTAATTGCCCAAAAATAAAATTATATTTCTATTGGAAATCATCAATATTTGCAGTCAGCGGGAAAGTGTGGGCTTTCTTTTAGATGCACAAGATAGAATAGCATGAATAGAGTAATCACTTATAAATCAGGGTTCAGGCTGTATGGTATATATATATAATATGAAAATACACAAAACAAGAAATCCCATTCTAATGGTCAAAATTGACAAGATTTCAGTTATACCAATGTATACATATATAAATTTGTGTATATAAACTAAACTGAATATGACAAAGAATATGCATTATCAGCCAACAAAAAAGGCTGTGTATGTGCAAGTGTATGTGTGTGTGTGTATATGTACAATGAAAAACAGGATACGATCAAATAGACTTTTTAGAACACTATTTTATTTAAACAAGAATATTTCTACCTGTCATCAGGTGTTCATCACCACGACTGATATACAACAGTATGATCAAATGTTGGCATAATATTATGTCTAGCTGGGGATTAGAAAGAGTTAACTGGTAGCCACATAATTATAATTACAAATGGTGTGACTGGGCCTATAAACTACTTAATATTCAAGGTAAATATATGCATGTACAGTATATGTATGTAAGAAAGTATAATACATACTCCAAGTATTGAAATACACGCCATCGTGTTGGGATTCAATATTTCGACATTAATTATGTAATTAATAATGTAAGTAATAAATTAGGTTTAATATTTTCTAGTACTAACATTATTGACAGCTCCCGAAACTGGTCTATCCTATTGTTTAAAGAAGCGTTCGCTATACGTAGACTACACCCTTTGCTTAACAATGGGCTCAGAGCTTCAAAAGAGCTTTCTTTGTTTTTGTAGGTATCTTTGATCATTAGAGTAAGAATGC